AAATGGACATCAATTTTTTTAATTTAAGCAGGGCCACAATTTTTACAGTGTGGTTTTCTTTCTGGAAGCATTAATCTTACTTCTTGATGTTGCTGTGCTGTTGTTGAAGCTGGTTTTAGTGTGTGTACCTGCACAGCGTGACTGGGTCAGTGGGTTTGTAGTGCTTTCTGCCCTGCTAATCTATTGCTCACAGCGCAAGAGTCAAAACTAACCCCTCTGAAGTCGGCTCTGTCACAACCTGGTTCCCAAATTTAACTTAGTCAAGAACATCTGGAGCACAACTATATCACAGATCATCATGACGTCTGAGCAATTAGAGACAATCCACTGAGCAAAAGACCATGTTTATTTAACATTTATGGCAAATATTATGCCAAATAATTAGTTAAAACTATTAAATTCTCTTCCATGCAGGAAGTAGGCAAAGGTCAAAAGTGTTTGAGAACTCTTATTGTGTGCATTTCTACAGCTGACTTTCTTCTCTATCAGTTCAGTTTGTTGTGTTCTAAAGAAGCTTCCAGTTAATCTGGCTGCTGCTGATAATCCCACAGACGAGGTGCTGCCTGCAAATATGTACCGTACATCCAAGCTGGGCTGCATAATCTCAGTCATGTTCGCTGGTTATCCACCAAACAAACAAGCTTCTGGGGTGAAAAGATTACCGTATTTTTTGGACTATAAGGCGCACTTTATTTATTCATTTATTCATTCAATTAAAAGAAAGAAATAAACAAAACAAATTCATCATAAAGAACAAACAATGCAGGGTGCAGAAAGAAGAACAAAATTCTTATAATATTTGCCCCTTATTTAAAAAAAATAAAAAAAATAACTACAAACAAACAACAACTTAGGCCTGAACAACCCCCAAATCGAAAACAAAAACCATCAGGAATCCTTCATATGGTATCATACTTTCCCATCAATTTTACCTTAATCATATTTTTAAACATATAAATTGTTTTAGAAAATTTTATGGTGATATCAAAGCAACGCAGCGCTCCTTCAGATTAGTTCTAAATGGAGGTTTTACAAACATTTCCATTCCCTTAAGATTATAATGACTCTCTTTTTTTTAACAAATTTCAATTGAATATTTGAGGGTAATATTTTTTATGAGCTTTATACATGACTTGTAAAATACTATATTCAACCAAATCATAAAATTTTAATAATTTCAATTGATGAAATAATATATTTGTTGGGTGACCATAGCACTTCCTACTAATAATTCTTATAGCTCTTTTTTGTAAAATAAAAATAAGGTTTGTAATTGATTAACATGCTTTTCCCAAAACTTCAATACAATAGATTCAATTTGGAACAATCATTACATTATATAATATATACAAAGCTTTGTCATTCAAAAACTCTTTTACTTTATACAGTAATGTATAATTTATAACATCCGTTCAATATCTTCACCCGAACAAAAAAATGTGGTATCATCTGCAAATAAAACACACTTCAAAAGCCCTGACACACAAACAAGAGCATTCACATACAAAATAAACAAATTTGGTCCCAACACAGAGCCCTGAGGAACTCCACATCCATTTACACAAAATTCTGATTTTACATTGTTTACCTGTACAAACTGTCTCCTATTATTCAAATAACTGGATACCCACTGCTAATCCCCTAATGCCATATTTATTCAGTTTGTCAAGGAGATGGTGTGGTCAATAGTGTCGAAGGTCTTTTTTAAATCAACAAAAACACCAACACTTTACTGTTTTTGATCAACAGCAGTTGTTATCTCTTCTATTAGTTCCATGAGAGCCATTGATGTTGAATTATTTGCTCTAAACCCATATTGACTATTACTTAAAGTATTCAGTTTATCTATGAATCGATTTAATCTGGTTACAAATAATTTCTCTAATATTTTTGAAAATTGTGACAACAAGGATATTGTTCTGCATTTAGTGAACACACATTTCTCACCATTCTTATAAAGAAGAATTCTCTTTGCTATTTTCATATTTTCTGGAAATTTTCCTGTTGAAAAATATAAATTACATATACCTGTATATATGTAAATGGTTCAATTACATAACTCATTATATCCTTTACAAACATCATGTCCATGTCCATCCAGTCTTTTGATCTTTTATCTGCAAGATTTTTTACAATACTCAGTATTTCTTTTTTATCAGTGTCACTGAGAAATAATATATATAATTTAATTATAATCCAGTGCGCCTTATGTATTAATTATGTTTGTGTTTATTGACCTCAACCTGATTTTATGTGGTACAACTGAACAATATTGAAAGTAATTGTGAATGAGTTGAATAAAGTTTGACTTCTCTGACTCTTTTGTTTTGCTTAATGCGCTTTATAATCCAGTGCGCCTTATAGTCCAAAAAATACGGTACCCTTCAGTATAAAAATACGGACTGTCTGCAGGTTGGACAGGGTGATTGGGTTGGATGGTCCCCAAGAACGCTTGTAAAGCGGAAAAATTAATCATCTGTCTCCTCCTTATTTTGAACCAACATTCATAAGGGAACATCTTAAATCTCAGCCAGTCTAATCCAGTTGGGGTTGAGTTGTGCCAACTTTGCTCGTAGCATTAGTCCGCTGAATATCCAAAGAGAGCTCTCTAACCTACATTCCTCTGCTGAGTTGGCTTGACTGCAGGCTGACATTATGACCATGCAACAGCCTGGAGAAAAAAAAGTGAAGTAAAAAGGCAAAAAGTGTGTTTGTTTCATATTTCATATGATACAATATTAACCCTTTCTTGCTTTTTGATTAAAAAAAAAACATGTTCAATGATTTATTTTCAAGTGAAAGGCAATACATTTTGTCTTATACTGGCAGGATGTTAGTGAATACAGTAGTCCCTCAATTATCATGAGGGATCCGTACCCTGAAGACCCGCGATAAGTGAAAAACCGCAAAGGACATTATTACCTGCAGTGTTCCCTCAGTGAGGACTGAACTTGGCAGAGGGGCCTTCTCCTACTCCGCTCCTGTTTCCTGGAATGTCTTGCAAAAAGATCTGAAGCTCCGACCTTGACCTCTCTAAGTGGCTTTAAGAATCTGTTGGACTCCTGGCAAGAACCAATGCAGACATGTTCCTGGTTTTAGTTTTCTACATTCACCTTATAATCTAGCTGTTTGTTGCTGCTTTTTTTGCCATCTTATTTTAATTTGTAAAAAAAAAAAAATCTGTATGCCCCCTTTATGTTGTTGTTGTTGTCCACTGTTGTCGTCACTCTTGTTGAAATCAGGTCTCTCTTGTAAATGAGCCCTCGAGGCTCAATGGGATTTGTCCAAATAACGGTTGAATGAAAGATGGCATCATGTACCGTATTTTTCAGACTATAAGGTGCATTAGATGAAACAAAACAGTCAGATAAGCCAAACTTTATTCAGCTCATTCACAAAAACCACATAAAATCAGTTTGAGGTCAGTAAACACAACCAGAATTAATACATAAGGTGCACCATATTATAAGGCTCACTGTCGATTTTTAAGAACAATTAAAGGATTTTAAGTGCACCTTATAGTCCAAAAAATACGGTACTCTCTGTGTGTATAAAAAATGCAATTTTTTTTTTAAGCAAGCAAACCTCTGAACAAAACCAAAGCTCTCGTATTAATTGATACGACATAAACTTAAATATTTGGAAATATGAAACAAGTTGTTCTTTCAGCTGCATTTTTCTGCAGGAGTTCCCACAGCGAGCAAACTTATATGAAAGATTTGGCGATTGTTTTATTCCAGATGCTCTTCGTGACACAACCTGGACTCGAACCATAGTCTCAACCAGACTGCGAAACCGACCACTGAGCTATCGCGCCCTCAAACTCAAACACAAGTCAAGTCTCTAAATTTGGCAGAATTATTCAAACCCCGATGCAGAGTTTATTCACTTTTAGGGTTTTACAATGAACTCGTGCAAGCACATAGCTGAAACATGTGTTCATGTGTGATTCGATGTGATCAAAACTAAAGTTAAGTCATTTACAGTAAGTGGCTCTGTGCCAGTTGCTGTACGACAAATACAAACTTTTGATTTCTATCATGGTGCTGCAAGCCCCGGAGAGTCAAGATCGACTGTTCAACTAGGCCACAGTAACCAAAGCGGTCGGACTTCAGCTCAGCTCGTGGCTTTTCTTTATAAGTCTCGTGCTCTTGTGAGCTCGGTTTTAAGAAACTTTTTAGTTTTTCACACTTGAGAAAATGGGGGAGATCAGTTGAAGTGTTTTCATACTGGTTCTTTATTCTGAAAAAGCTAATAAATTGTTTTTTTTTTTTGTATTTTCTAGATTCTGAAAAGGGTTAACTCCTGCATGAAGTGACTTCAGTTTTTACTGTTTTTATCAGTAATGGTTTCATTTTGAGCATAGAATACCTCAGAGTTGTAATCATATGACAGAGTGTACTATAATTTACTTTATGTACTGTCACTTTGCAGGCAAAATAAATATCGCATTTTAGAGAATGTATGCGTTTTATTTAGAGGGGGACAAAAGATGCACGCGTTTTTGTCAGACCTAAAGTTAGTCTTTCACGTTCTGAACAAGACTCACCGCAGCACACCTGGGTGAGCTGCAGCCACATCTCCACACAGGAAGAAGACATACACTTCTTCTGCTACATTTAACCACATATATCTTTCTTTAAAACTGTGCCCGCTAAATCTAAATCCACAGCATGAACACAACATTTAGCATTTTATATATATATATATATTATTCTCAATCTAAGTAATACAAAAAAAAAAGTGAAAAGGTTTGGTTCCATTCATTGCCAGTATGAGCATCATCATTTCTCATATAGTGTTTGTTGTAAATTTGATGGAAAAGCTGCATGCTAACGCTAAAACATTAATAATTGCTAATATTATAAACAGGGAAATATATTATTATGTCTGTTAATCTGCCTAATAAATTACAATAATGACAATAAAAGTTTGAAAACACAGGTGATATATTACATTCAGGTTAGCTACAACACTGTTGAGTTTCAACTTTTGAATTATTTTGTCCAAGTTTACCAAAGAAATGTTTTGGAAATAAAAGATTAAAAACCGTTTTATGCTCTGGTTTTTCCGTGGCCTCAAACTGAACTGAATCATCTTCTGCTGCATTTTAATATATTTTTGTAGGACATTAAGTTTGACAGAATTAGTTCTATTACGACCCTGAACAAGTCATAAAACAGAGCAGCTGTGGCTTTGGAGGAAGTGTGGTCATCTGGCAATCAGAAGGTTGGTAGTTTGATTCTCTCAGCATATTTCAGTGATCTTGGGCAAGACACTGACCCTCATGCAGCTCCCGATTCTGATTTTTGATGTCCATGTCTTCCCACGGTGCTGTATGGCTGCAAAGCCTCATTTTAAATTTAGTCAGAATTACCCATCAATGTCCTCCGGAGAACTTTTTCAATTCAATTCATAGTTTATTTATATAGCACATTTAAAAATAACCACAGCTGAGCAAAGTGCTTAACAAAAATTACATCGTAAATAAAAAATACGATAAAAAGAAATAAAACTGAGTTTAATAAAAATAAAAGTATGATCAAATTTGCAGTAAAATACTAATAAAATAATATTGCTAATAAAAACTTAACTGAACTTAGCCTTAAGCTTAATAGCTAAGATTTGCTTATTAAGTATTATCTGAATGTTGTGTGTGTGTGTGTGTGTGTGTGTGTGTGGGGGGGGGGGG